GATGACAAGAGGATATATTCTCTTTCACTGATGCAGTCAGCAAATATAAACACAGCCGAAGAGACCTGTGTTAGAAAGCTAAACTGTACCCAATGTGACTCAGCATCTCCGCGGAGATTTGTGACTGCAAGTGGCTCTGGAAAGAGATCGGAGCTCTTTTGTCCTGGGAAATACCAAGCAATTTCTACTAGCCCTTCGGCAATTTCTCGAGGAATGTTTCCAGATTCACTGTCACGGTGAATGAAGTAATCATTGTGCTGCTGGGAGGGACTGAGAAACTCATTGAGGACTGCAGACTTGGAAAAGGTTGAGGTCCCCATCCGCACAAAAGAGATTACTGGCATGGGTGTCAGCACCAGGTTCTCCTCCCTAAAGCCTTTGCTTTCGGCCAGGGAATGGGGCGTCCATTGTTTCACAATGCCCCGCATGGCCCAGAGCATCAGGGTGCACTTTGGAGTCTCTAAAGGGGGCAGGAGCAATGGCAGAGCAAACTGGCAAAGGGACATTTTGGAGAAGATCTCCTGCTGAAGGAAACTGTCAGAACAAAGCAGAACGGCACAAAGGACATCAAGGGGGTTCACAGAAACTCTTACGTCTGTCTCACTATTGAAGAAAATTCTCTCATCAACTCTCTTTTCTTCCTCCTTGACTTTCATCCTCTGCTCTAGGTTCTCCTCCTCTACAGTTGTGTTCCTGGCTGATACATTCAGAGCCAGAACCTTCCTCAGAAAATGCCAAGGTAAATCTCCCAAAGCAGCAGATCTGCATTCTTTTAAACTTCCTGAACTGATTTCCAGAATTTCTTGCAGGGCCAATTTCTTGCTTTTATGTTTCCGTAGCTTTAACTTGGTAAGAATGGTCTTAAGAGCTTTTCTTCTCTCTATGGAATAATTAAAATGTTATTATTGTTCTTGTAACTTCTACTACTGCTGCTGCTATTCTGTTCAATGGGTAATGGGCTGCATAAGCTTGTCCAAAATAATCTTTTAGGCACAAAGTGGATTTGCCATTAAATGCATTACACACATCTGCATAAAATCTTGTTATAACATGAAAAGCATGTAGTGTAACAAGACACCTAGGACTGGGACACATGCAGCCACACAGATGCAAATACAAAGAAATGATAATGACCTCTACTTGGCAGACCTGCCAGTCAGGCTGGCCACATGACAATGCAACTGAATTTCCACTAGTCTGGCATTTCATAAAATCATAAAGCAGTGAAGTTGGAAAGGGTTTATAAGGCCATCAAGTCCAACCCCCTGCTCAGTTCAAGAACTTGCCACTCAAGTCAGAACTTCCTTTGGAGCAGTGGTTCCCACCTTTGGGTAACCCAGATGTTCTTGCACTGCAGTTCCCAGAACCCTTCACCACTAGCTGTGCTGGCCAGGGTTTCTGGGAATTGCAGTCCAAGAACACCTGAGTTACCCATGGTTGGGAACCACTGCTTTAGGGTGGCCAAAGCTCCAGATTCTATGAATGAAAAAAAAAAGAATGAAGAAAAACTATGCCCAATTCAACAATCATAATAAATCGGATAAATTAAGATTATTTACAAATAAGTGTGTCTGTGAGGATTCTCAGTCATCCAGGTGTGGCAACTGGAGTTATTTCTCATTAGGTTGAAACGTTTCACTACTCATCCCAATAACTTCTTCATTCTGAGGAGAGTTCGTAGGAGACCCCTGATATATCCTATCCTCCACGTTGGTTTCACTTCTCCTTGGTCTGAATAGGCTCATTAGATGGACAGACGATGGGGAGGTAAGTGAAAATCCCACCTCTGCCGTTCTTCTCCACCTATTGTCATGGGTCGTTAACAGTTGTTAACAGTGGTCTTTCTAGTATGTGTGGTCCTGATCTTTCTGGGGAGGGATGCAAGGGCAGCATGATAAATAGGAGACAGCTTGAATCTAAGGCCTACACCCCCGTTGAGGGAGGGATTTTCTAGGTGCACCTGTATGGCCTCTTTGACCCCTCTCTCAAACCACCTATTTTCTTAGACAGAAATGCTCTGAGCACTCTTCTTTGCATTGGGCCACATATACTATATTGCTCCTGTTGTGTTTTGGTGTCCAGTCTTTTGGGTGTACGAGTCTCTGCCTAATGTGTTTGTGGGTTTGAAGTGCACAGGCATGTGGTGTTTACAAAAAATCCTTTCAGAGCTCTACCTCGGAGAAAGCAAACTGTTAACTAAACAGAAGAATGGCCCAACCCAGGAGGGAAACAGCTCAGGACCATAATCAGCAGCTTTCCTTCATTTGAAGGACAAAGGACACTCATTTGATGTACCCATTTTGGACCGATAAGATAGGTGGTTTGAGAGAGGGGTCAGAGAGGCCATACATGTGCATACAGAAAATCCCTCACTCAGTGGGGGTGGAGGCCTTAGATACAATCTGCCTCCTATTTATCATGCTGCTCTTTCATCCATCCCAAGAAAGATCAGGCCCACTCACCAGAAAGACCACTGTTATGACAATGGATGGAGAAGGTCTACAAGAGGTGGGATTTTCACTCACTCCCCATCCATTGTCCATCTAAAGAGCCTATTCATACCAGGAGGAAGTGAAACCAATATGGAGGATATATCAGGGATCTCCTATCAACTCTCCTCAGACTGAAGAAGCTACTTGGATGAGTAGAGAAACCTTTCAACTTAAGAAGGAAGTCCAGCTGCAATGACTCCACTTCCAGATTTAGAAGTGTGGTTGTGAGTATTTCTTCCAAAAATTCAGGGTTTCATATACTTGGATGTTTTCTTTTGAAAGGGATTAGTGTGTAATAAATAAATAAAAAGGATCAAGAAAAGGTCCCAGTTTAAACCCCATTAAAAAAACTGTGAAAGAAAGTGCGAAAAGTCTCAAAGTGATCATGAACAATGGCTTAAAACACTGATTGCATTTCCATGCCCAGTGCTCGTAGAATGCATGAACGAGAAGTTCCCTGGAAACACTACTCCGAGCATCATTGTAGAATGTAGAGTGTGACAATACAAAATAAAGCAAGATTTGAAGGGAGGAACAGACATGAAATTACCTCCAGGAGGATGTTTCTGCACTTCCTCTGGTTCTTCCCTAATTTCTTCTTTCTCCTGACTTGAAAGACCTAGAAACAGATACTCATGTTCAATCCTCTTAGAAGTTCTTGAAGTTCCTCTTATATCCCAGGCTCAATTTTAAAAAAACTTCCATCTATCCAATCTAACTTCAGAGGGTGTAGCTCCCCTGAAGAAAATTTAAAATGAGAGCAAGTGTCTAATATGCTTATACTTCAAGCTTTCCCCCCATCACAGAGGACCGGGAGTGGTAGAAATTGTCTACTGTTGGTCCTGCACAGGCTTGCAGAAGCCCAAGCTCTCATTTGATCATTGTAATTTAATTATCACAGTCATTATAATCACCTAATGCTATAGCCATTAGGTAATCCATTTCTCATAGGCAGAGAAATCTGAGCACAGGGGCACTATAAAAACAATCAGATTTAGATCTGAATGTAGCACATAGTAAGCAAAGGGATACTAGAAAGTTGTCTACTTTCTCCTTTGTTTAATTTCTTTTTAAACAATCTCGCACTCTACTTGCCACCCTCCAAAATTAGCCCAACAGAGTATAGCAATCCTTCTTTTCCCAAACAACGCAGCACCTTTCTCATGATCCACAATTGGTCTTGAACAATCCTTAAAGATTTGTTGTAAACTAAGTGTTGTAAACTCAATAGCCTAGAGATAAGCTATCACATATCAAAGTTTGTTCGGTTTGACATCTTTTAATCAGAAGGTTTATGAACCAGGTGTCACAGAAAATATGTACATTTGGGGCAGATTTGACATGTTCTGTCATAAGAACTGTATGGACAGAAAGGCTAATGCCTTCAGGGCATAAAAAGACAGCAGCACAAATGAATAATTAGCAGCATATATTTTTAGAAAATGTATTGATTAATTTAGTAGCCAAAATCCTCTTGCAGGGCCAAGCAAATGGTGCAACTTCTGGAACCCAATTTTAAAAAAATCACCATAAGCATTATCAGTTGCATTCTTGAGTCAAAAATCTTGGGGTAAATGATTTTGAAATAACTAAAATAAAATAAAACAAATAATGTCTATAGAGTTTTCTTATCTTGAGGCAGTTTGCCTTCAAAAGATATGCTGTTTGTATTAGGCCAGGGTCACTAGGCAATAGGATTCGGGCCAAGAATAGCTTTCAATATCCATTAGGAATTGTCAATTTTTGTAGCCCTCCCCATCTTTCTTATAGCTATGTTTTAGCCTCTGTATGCATAAAATGAAATCAGTTCCCCAACCTCCTGCCTTCAAGATGTTTTGAAATACAGTGGTGCCCCGCATAGCGACGTTAATCTGTTCCAGATTAATGTCGCTATGAGGAAACATCGCTAAACGGAATGGAAAAAGCCATAGTACTGCAATAAACTTCGTTTAATGCGTTCCTATGGGGCCCAAACTCACCGTTCAGCAAAGTCCCTCCATAGCGCCGCCATTTTCGCACCCTCAGTAAGCGAATGCAGGGTGTGTAAACACTGCGGGCGGCCATTTTGGGCACTCGGTGGCCATTTTGGAACCACTGATCAGCTGTTCAAAAAACATCGCAATGCGAAGATCGGTAAGCGAAACACTTACCGATCATTGCAATGCAATGTTTTACCCATTAAAACATCGCAATGCGATCGCATTAGCGATCTAAAAAAATAGATCGCTATGCGGATTCGTTGTTAAACGGTGCACTCGTTATGCGAGGCACCACTATACAAGGCTTGATCAAAGTATACATTGGCTGGAGCTGATGAGATCCAATGTGTCTGGGGGGCACCTAGCTGAAGTCACATACAGATAGGAGCCAAGGAATTTTCTCTCTCATTGCATGTTCTTCTCTTCTTCCTCAGCCTGGAAGGGAGCCTTAGAACAAACTGCACAGAAAGTAGGACCATTCTTCCTCCCATCAGTACAACCTCAGTCTGCCCTATCCTACCAGGGTTTCTTCCAAGTGGAAGAATAGGACTGGTGCCTCACCGAACTCTCTTTCAAAGACAACCGTGGCAATAGCTAAATGTTTGTCCCCAGCATGACTGTGGAAATACCTTCTGAAATGTCTCTTTTTGCCTCTTCCACTGCTACTGGGTTTTCGGCTTCCTCCTCAGATAATAATTGCTCTAGGGAGGAACCTATGATACAATAATGGCAAAAAGAGTCAGTCATGTTTACCAAGATTCAGAAGGAAGTCCAAGTCATTTCTCAATGCGCTCGCTGTTCCTAATGATGCAACCATCGTACCCAGCAAGTGTTGTTTCTATATTTGGAGGACTATGTTTGCCAATGGCTTGCTGGAGAGTCTAACTCCTGTCCTCTGAAGATGCCGGCCACAGGAACTGGCAAAACGTTAGGAAGAAAAACCTCCAGAACATAGCCAAAGAACCCGAAAAGCCTACAACAACCATCAGATCCCGGCCGTGAAAGCCTTCGAGAATACATTTTTGTGTAATGCTTTTGAAATAACCTGATGCCAAAATTAAGCCAATGAAATGGCCCAGGTGAAATTAATTATATAAGGCCAAAATTAAACCAATGAAGTGGGCCAAGCAGATTTCCCTTAGCAACATATTACAGGTAGGAGCATTACAAGAAAGATCACGTGCTCAAATATCTTGCAGATCAAATTTGTATGAATAAACTGGGCCCACAGCAATGTCTTTCTGTTCCCAGAGAATCCTGGGAATTGTAGTTCTATGAAAAAGGACCAGAAGTTTCCACCAAATGAAGAAACTATTTCTCAGGATGAATAAAATGTTTGGAAGGCTCACCATGTACTGAACGTTGCAGAATACAATTTGAACCCGGATGTATAATTTCTAAACACTCTAGAAACTGGATGCAGGCCGGTTCTCCCTTTTTCTGTATCTGAATCAGCAGTTTTCGAATTTTCTTCTTGGAATTCTCCTCAATTTTATCCAAGATCTCATATTCTTCTTCAGTGATGACAGACTGGGAGACTAACTCATCTAGAAAGAGTTCTATGTCATTCTCAAGGATTTCAGTTAATTGTTTTCTTCCCTTACGTATCATCTCCTCACCAGATATCATCGCTGAATCTGTTGACCTGTGATGCAAAGGTTAAATCTATTTATCAGTGAAAGAAAGGAAAGAATTAGAACCTGGGAATAATCTTTACATGGTAACAGACCAATACTCCATCTAGTAATGTCCAGAGATTGGTGAAAAAAGATTATCTAGTCACTTAGATACACCTTCACCTAATGTTTATCAAAATGATAGCTCCATCAAAATTCATTTAGAAGTCCTTCCGTGGGACCGGTGAAGGTCAGCCTGGCTGTAAGAGTGGGCTGTCCATCTCTCAGAGAATGCCACCAGATTCCCTACCCACAGCTCACCTGTGGACTGGGGCATTGGGAGGATGGAGGAAGATGATGATGCCCTTGAAGTCACAGGTGTGGCCATGGCGGGACTTGGACTTCAGTAGGAGTGGGAGACAGAAGAAGAGGACTCCTGTTGGACCAAACCAGTAGACTGGGAAGTGTGCGAGGGCTTGGGAGGTGCTGCCACTGCCACCAAAGTTGAAGGCATCTGGGAGACGGTTCACAGGCACAATCCCGACACTGGAGATGCTGGTGCCACCAGAGGTAGTTGCCTGGGTCCATTGAGACTAGGCAAGGTGCTGAAGGGCCCAAAGGCTTGAGAACCAGTGATGGGTTGGCAGAAGAAGCACCAGGGGCAAATGGCTTTGTCAGAGAAGCCCCACAGCCTTTCTCACAGTGAGCCCCACTCCTTCCTGCCCTATGCCCTGCTACATGGGAGACAACAGCCGAGTCCACATGAATTTCGGATGAGCCACCTGTGAGGATTCCTGCCCCTATGAGCTGATAGCCTCCAGCGGGGACCAAGGATGTGTGTCAGGGGAAGGAGCCTTCACCACCTGTCTTCAGGGACAACCTGACCATGTGAATACAGCACTCTTGCTGCAGGGCCCCATGCCTGGCCCTTTTGCAAGGGGTCCTAGACCTGGTAAAGGAGACAGGGTTCCAGACCTCTCAGTAAAGACTATGCAGGGGCAGCACCTCCAGGACTGAAGGAGTGAAACTACCTTCCTGGTGCGCCCAGAGTTGTTTTGAGTTAGTTAATGGCACTGTTGGCATCTTTAAAAGTTCCACTGCTCAATAACGGAGCCTGTTTCTGCAACTGCTTTTGGTATCATCGTGGAAGAGGGCAAGAGGGCCACTCACACCTTCGCAGAGGAAAAAGGCACTGAAGTGAGGAAAGCCATATAGACCTATTATGATTTTTATAAAGAGTACAAGGAGATCTCCTTCATGTCTGCCTTAAAGGAAAATTACAAGATGGATCGGGATCATCTAAACTTCCATAAGCTACACTAACACAATCTAGGGTAGTGACCTTTTTCAGCCCTGAAATCCAGAAACATTTAACTCAAAATGCCAGAGACTGAAGCTGGATTTTTCAATACACAACACATGAGCTATTCTTATAAGGCATTGCATAATGTTAATGGGGTATTCCTACAATATTCTACAAACCTACTACCCTTTAACAGAAGACCATTTCCTTTTTCTTGCTGTACAGCCAACTAGTGTGGTCTGAACTCTTCTACTGGGGGCTGAACAAACTATATTAGTAATTTACACCAGAAGATTTGACCTACTCAAGATTAGGAACAGCATCGTGTGGCCATCAAAGAAAATATTATGGTCAGTGAGGAACATAGGACAAATAGCAGGACAAAGGCCCATCTGGTTGCACCCAGAGATTAGAAAAGAAAAACAGATCCAGCCTTTTTTCACCAATGTCTGGTGTCTTTTGCAAACTCAATCTGGTGGGCGGGATAACCAGTGTATATTCTGAGCTCCCAATAGGCTTCACCAATATACTTTTTGCAGCTCCAGCAAAACTGTAGTCCAGGCTGTTTTATTTTCTGACCAGTTTGCAACCTTAAAAGTGGAAGAACAAAAGCTCTTTTCATGCGCCTGCCCTATGCCCTGCTACATGGGAGACACCGGCCAAGTCCAACGAGTGTGGTCTGAACAAAAGCTCTTTTCATGCATAGTCTACAGATCGTCCAATGCTATTATATATTGATCATTAAAATATAGAAGTTAGGCAGAAATTACCCTTTAACAGACATTCCCAAAGACACATCTACATTTCTATTCTCTTTTGTTTCCTCAGAACACAAGCTGTTTCCACTGGATATTAACTCGGGTATCTTTCTTGTCTTGGCAAAATCCTCTTTTTGGATTTCTTGTAAGGTGGTTTGCTCAGAGTCTAGAAATCAAGAACATACAAAGAACCAGCTTTACTAATCCTGTTCACAAGATCTGTCTATGTAACAAAAATATGTGTATGGAGGAATGAGGGACTGTACCCCTGCTGGTCAATTCCTAACCTTGTAATTATTAAACTTAGAGAATATATATGCATACAGTTCATGTTAATTATCCATAAATTGGCACTACACAAGGCTAAGAAGCCAACAGTGGTTTATTTTACAGGCAAATCATGTCATCTCCTTTGCCCCTAGCTTTTAGAGCAAAGGAATCCAAATTTTGCAGTCAGAACAAACCCTGCAGGTTAAGCCCACCGTGAGAAGGGGGACAAGGAGGTGACCCCTTCGTGTCAGAGTGCCATCCCCTCTCCCCTGGAAAACAAGAGAAACCCAGGTCACCAGAGGTCATTAGAAAAAGAAGGGGAAGGAAGAAAGAGGCCCCTAGAAGAGTAAGAGAAAATTCTCAGAGAAGAAGAGGTGGGGAAAAACAGAGGGAGGAGGAAAGAAAGGGGGAGGATATAAGGGGGCAGAAAGAAAACCATTAGACGTAAAGGTCAAAGTAGGGAAGGCTCAAAAGAAAGAACACGCTCTTCCAGAAGGTTGGGAATGGGTTGGAAAACAAAACCCTTGGACTTGTGAGTGGATATGGTTTTATGTTCCTGGTAGAGGAGGCAAGACTGCAGGAGACACATTGCCCATCTCGAAAGGCATCCTACTTGGGGTGACCAAGAAAGGCCAGAAAGGAGGAGAAGAGATCAGGAAAGGGCAGCCCAGGCAGAGGCAATGAGGGAGGAGAGAACAATATGGAGCCAACCTCCTCGGGCTGGACCCCCGACCCACGGACTAGAGCACCTGGCCCCTGGAAGGGCAGAGAGAACCTCAAGAGCGGTGGGAGACCAACCCCAAGTTACTATTATAGTTGTCCATGCCGGATGGGCATGGTTCAAGTTTGTAGAACCCCTTTCTCTCCCCCCCATTGGAGGAAAAGGTGAAGTTGGTGTCTGATGATGTGAATGATGGCTTGTTAGACAAATCCACAGTAAATGTTAATGTGTTTAAGCAGGAAGCTGAGTGTCTTTCTTTTATTAAAGTGATATTTGACAATGGGGAGGGGGAAAGAAAAAAACCTCACACCCACACACATGCCTGCTCCTGGGGTAACATGTGTGCATGCATTAGCACGCATGTGTTTTTCCAGAGACTTCTGTGCTGCAAACAAGAAGCTGAAGCTGCAGAAAAAAACAAACCACGCAGAGCAGATGAAAATGTGCTTTGATAGCACAGCTGAGTCACAAATGGAGCAGCAACAGCCACATAGGAAAGTTGAGGAGAGAGAAGAATTCAGGGGTTCATCATTCATGTGTGAATCTAGGTTGTACAAAAGCAAAGAAACCTCTCATTCGGAGTTTTTAGAAGTTTTACTCACCTTCTTCTAAATATTCAGAAATGGGCTGCAAGCATGGAAAGACATGCCTTAAGTTTTCCAGGCAGTCTAAGAACAATTCTTGTTTCGATTTCCCTTTTCCAAGGATCACATCAATCAGCCTTTCTATACATTTTTCTGAATCCTTTATTTCACTCAGGGAGAAGAATTCCCTCTGTGAGAGCAGTAGGTGGGAGTCTACTGCATCCAAGAGTAATGCTACGTCTATTTGCAGAAGAGCCTCTCTTAACTTCTTTCTGGCATTCTGTATAATCTCAAAGGGACTTCCGCAAGAAGCCATGGTTCTCAAAACAGAAAAGCTGAAAACATAAAAAATGAAGCAACATTTACTTTCATTTAAAAACATTTATCTCCCCACCTGCCCCCAAAGAGATTTGCCTGCCATCGTTTACTTGGAGAGCAACAAAGGGAATAGGGAAAATGCCCCCCCAACAGGCATTACATCCTGCCTACTACATACATTGCATACATTTCTAAAGTAAGTGTTACCACACCCAGGGCTTGTTCTGCGTTCCTGTGTGGTCAAGGAAAAAAGCACAATTGATAGATTAATATTTAACCTAGGAATCCAGGGCCACGGGTAATTCCAAATAACAAATCTATATTTTTGAGAGAACTGCAACTCCATCCAACACAAGCTGAATCCTTATTTTTAGGACAACAGCTCACAATATCAAGATTTAGACTTCGTTTTCATGCTCCTTGTCTAGTCCATTACTGTTGTCAGGGAGGAACAATTACTGCTGTGCACGAATCTCCATTGACCTACAATGCATTGAAAACCGATTAATCCCATAACCGGTGGTTTTTATTCTATTTTTGTTCCATTTTGGTTTTTTTCTGGTCTGTAAGTCGATTCTACGGCTGCAAGTCGAATCTAAATTTTGCAGCCAGAGAAGTCTGTAACTCGAAAAGTCTGTAAGTCGAGCCGTCTGTAAGTCGAGGGTCCACTGTATCAAGATTTAGGCTTCATTTTCATACTCCTTGTCTAGTCCATTACTGTTGTCAGAGAGGAACAATTACTGCTGTGCACATCCTCAGCAGCCATCGCCCAAGGGATTCAAGTGGTAAATTCTGTGTGAGACAGATGGATGTCTTGGACTTATTATTGATGATTCCACTTTCTCCCCAAATAACTTTTCCTAGCAATTTTATGCGACTGTTAAAAGAGTCTGGAACAAAAGGAAACTCTTGAATCACATTGCTGGCCAACAGCCAGGCAATCAAATCAGAACACACCAACATTGTCTTCTGAAATGTCTCCCATGGGGAAAGCCATATCAAAACTACTGCAACCTCACATTCCCAAGTTTCATCCCAGCCAAGCAATCCAGAAAGATACATGCTGACATGACATGAAGAAGAACCAAGAAGGGCATGCCTTTGAAATTGTTTCCCTCCCAAAGGCAGAGAAGAAGCCAGGCGGAATGAGATCAAGATCATATTTTTTTTATTTTTTTATTTATTTTATATATTTATTGTATTTATACCCTGCCTATCTAGTCATTTCGACCACTCTAGGCGGCTAGAAAAACGTCAGGCCTTTAAAATTCTTACATGTAATAATAATAATAATAATAATAAAAATCTTAGAACTGAAGAGCTGTTCCAATCTCTTTCCCCTCACATTGCTTGGCCCAGATCAAGTGTATCTTGCCTTCACAAAGCAAAAGCCACCATTTCCTGTTATTTGCTTCCAGAGCAGACAGACATCAAATGCTTCTACAAACATTTATATGTTTTACTTATTCAAAATATTTTTACACCTCTTTTCTCCTTCAGAAGGATCCAGTGAGGCTTACACCATGAAAAGGCAATATGCAAAAGCTCACACTGAGAACCAGTTATTTTGTCAACCTTACTGGAAATAAAAGTTTCTGGAATATGAATAGTTCATAGGATTATGAATAAGTGGGTTTTACTTCAGAATGATGGAAACAGTGTGTGCAGCGTCTCTTACCTGAGGAAAAATTTTCTACCTCCTCATCCTGGTGAGAGCAAAGAGACTTCTCAGCTCCTACTCATCAGATGAACTGGTATTTCCTGTAATGATCAGAAAACAGGCTGGACAGAGGAGCAGAGCAGAAGAAATGAAACAGAAAGTAGAAAGCTGCAAAGGCATTGGCTACTTCTCTCCAAACACCACAAAGTCTCCCCCTTCACATTTGCAGTTCTTTATATTCCTAGAGTTCTGACAATATGTGCTTTCCTCCATTTTCCTTCCAAGATCATTTTCTGTAAAATACCACGCCCTATCTGTTTAAATATACAATATCTGTTCCCTAATGAATCAATTCTTGTAGATGCTGAATAGCCAGCCATACATAAGTTGTTTGAGCTTATTTAATTGGTTTACATAGACTCCAAAAACCACAGTCATGAACTTAGGCTGTGCTTCTTCTTTTCCCATATATCAAACAAGTGGCAAACCCTTCACATTTTGTGTGTAAACCCTGCTTCCACCTTCCTGTATCTGCAGCATTGAAAAGGAATCCAGCATTCCAGTATCTGGATGGAGTGGCCACAAGAGCAGGAAGACGAAGAAGTGGCAGCCGGGCTTAATTGGAGATTGGTCCAACGAGCAAGACGCTGGCCGTACATGCTGTGTGATGACCCACAGGGTTCAGGGAGGTAGGACTGGAGATCCCGGTCACCTGGGCCCAGTATATATCCCATCTCTACCTATATCTGCAACTACAGGGCTGAAATCTTATTGCCATAAGTTATGAACAAGGCGTAACACAAAGCAACAGGATTTTATCAAGGGTCTGGCAGTTTCTGCTCCCACCCACCACATCAGTCTACTGTACAAGATTTCAGAGTGACCTGCCTGCTCCCTGACAATTCCAACATCTCATCCTGGCCTGGGGAGAGAAAAAAAGTTATTTTTTATTTTATTTTATTTGTTTAACTTATATGCCACCCACACTACCCAAAGGTCTCTAAGCTATTTAGCTATTACTGTGGTTCTTCGAGTGATCATCCATGAAGTCACACACATATAGGTGTTTTGCACACATGTGAGGAAGCCATAGAACATTCGAGAGCTAAGAAAGAGTCTCTCCCCTCCTAACATGTATGCAGGGGTCCTCTCAGTTCCTGGAACACAGGCCACCACCTGGAGCAACATGCTAAAGTGGCGTGACAACCTGAGGGGAGGAGGATGGGTGGTGTGACTTCATGGATGACCCCTTGGAAAACCACCATTACAGGTAAGCGAACTGTTCTTCTTCTATGTGGTCTGTGAATCACACACATGTGGGTGAGTAAGCTACTAGACTTACAGGCCACTGGGATATCATGCCAGTATAGAGGACACCACAGCTCTGCCAAAGGCAGGTGTAGCCTTCTCACGGATATCCAGTCTAGAGTGTCTCACAAAAGTGGAGGGTTGTGCCCAGGTTGCAGTTTCACAAACGGCCAGCAATGGGGTGCTTCGGAGAAATGCTGTAGAAGAGAGAGCCTATCAGAAACGGGCTCTGATAGACTGTGAAAGCAGCCGCTTGTGCAACTGAGGGCAGAGAGACATGGTAGAGACAATCCACTTCGAAAAACACCAAGCTATGATCTGGGAGCCCCTGGGGAGAGAGAGACACACACATGGGTGACAAAACCTTTGGTATGCACCGATGGTAGTTACCAACACACAGGGGCAGAGAAATGGTGAAATAAAGATATCCAGTTTTCTGTGTCTAGTTTTCATCCTTCTCTGTTTTGGAGGGTAACCAAATGGTGTTTTTTGAGCAACCTTGATGATATAGAATTAAGGGTGACCCAGAAGGAAAGTTGCCTCTTCAGTGTAAAGATGGTACATGTTTTTTATGTGCCTGGACATTGGAGAGAGGGGAGGATAGTTTCATCCAAGAGTCTTTAGCCAGGGCAAGGAGGGAAGGAATCGTAGAGAAATGGACTGGTGTTGAAGAGTTTGAGGATACCTGGTCATATAAAAGGTCGTACCTGTGAGGTGGGGGCCTCTGTGCTTCCAAGGTAAAAGACTGAGCCAACTTAAGTATGAAGTTTGTATATACAGTACTGTAATCTCATGTCCTCTGAAGGAGAGGGTGGTGAGTGTCTCACACTTCCAATTCAGCCATGATAATGAGTCCCAAGTGGGCATCAGATTTGGACTTGGTGTCAGAGGTGGATTCAGATGAGGAAGGTGAATAATCTGAATCCTCAATGTCAGGTTTAGTGTGTGGAAACCCATTGGTGCCGAGGCAACAAAAGGGACATGTTGTGTGTTCTGAGGGGCTCTGTTGGCTGTACGCAGCTCAGCATAAGTGGAAGAGACACCTCAATGTTGAGGCTTGGTGCCAAGATCCAGGCCCAAAGCAATGGATACCTGAGTGGCTTGATGTTGACTCTTGGTTCCATGGTACAATTCCAAAGAGAGATGCTGCAGAGGACTGGAGGAACGCACCTGTTTGAGTGATAGAAACGAGGTAGGTAGGAAATGACGATGCTTGCAACGGTGCTTCATCCTTGAAAGGACAGTTGGCTCCAAAGCTTTGGGCACATATGCCATTGGATGCCAACAGAGAAGCTTGACATCAAAGGGTTAAACAACTGTTGTGAGACAGGTGAGGTCTCGGACAGGTGAGACACCACTGTCTTGGGGTGTCGTGTCCATTGGAGTGCATTGGAGCATGTGCTCCTGTGGCGTCAAAGCCTGGGCTATTACAATTGGTGCTGAGGCCAAGAGATACTGTATTAGTACTGTAGTACTGTATTAAGGAGGCAGGTGGTTGCACACCATGGAGCTGAGGCCAATCTTGATGCTGAGATTGGATGGCACTGAGAGGAGGTGGTTTGTGCTGGATGGCTCCTGCAGGGGCTGTCCGCTTGATGCCAGAGGGAGATCCGCCAATGGCACTGAAGATGATGAATGTAGATGGTTGCAAGTTTTGTGAATGCTCTTCCTCAGGCTATGGCCACACACAGTAGAAACGGAAATGGGGGACGGGACCTGAATCTCAGTGGAGGGTGAGTGGGATCAAGGCAGTGGAGAAAATTTCCCTAAAGGGTGTTGGATAGAGATCATTCCAGAGACTGTCTGAAAGTGGGCAGGAAGATGGGCTTGGGTGCTCCCCATTGGAGGATGGTGTATTGAGACAAACCACATAACTTTGCCAAGCCTGGAATGCAGAAGAGGTGGATAGCTGAGCCTCGGGTTAGGCTTTTTCAGGCTTGGATTTGTGTTTTGACTTCATTGCTGCACCTTTAGAGGAAGCTTATTCCTCTTTTTGGTGGTGACGTCTGTGATTGGTTTTGGTGACAAGGCTGGCTTTGATGCCGAAGTAGAGGCTTGCTTGAGGCCAACAGACTGACCCTTCTCTCACTGTTTGGTGGCATCTCCCCCCCCCCCAAAATAGAGTGCCAAGGTTAGTAATGCAAGAATTGATTTACTCTCATGTATAATGTCAGGGTTGGCTCCGCTGAGATGCTGGTCATGCTAATCTGGTTAATAAGGCAATTAAAAGAGACAGTGTGTGTGTCTAAAGCCTAATATATTGTGTACCTATAACATGATATTTATTAACAAAGCAAGTGGAAGCTACCTATCTCTGAAGGGTATAGACAAGGGTGCCTGGCAGCTTTTGCTGCCTTATGAGGGCACTTAAACCAGTTTATCCTAGTACAATAAGGGGAGGATAGACAGTTACATTGACACTGATTTGGAATCTCTGTGGAGGCTGATCCACACATGAACCATACCTTGGTTTCTTGAATGATTCACGTGTGTTACCTGAATTGCAGCTGCTGATATAAACAGTTTCTCTACTTTCAAAAATATTTTGTTGTTGCCCATTGTTGGTGAAATGAAAGTCATCTCTGATATTTGAGCGGCAATGGCTATTTCATGCCCATAAAAATAACTGGGGTGACAATATGCATGCACAGGAGTATGAATGCCTCTGATAGGTAAATATATTGTGATAGCCTTTTCATGATCTTTTTGTTGCTGTTGTTGGTTGTTTCTCTAAAACAAGTAAGGATTCATTCAGAGGCGTCCAGTTCTGGCAAAGTGTGGCCGTGCACATGCAGATAAACAACTCTGCTTTTCACCTTTATTTTATTTATTGTATCTTGTTTTAAAGTTTTGACTTTTAAGCTAGGCACTAGCACCAGTGTCTTTTATTGTAAGTGAAGAGGTTTGAGGCAAACTCCTCCACAATTTTCTCTTTGGTGGAAGGGAGCCAAACCTGAACACGCTGTTGTAGCCTTCTCAGTTTTAAGAAACTTGAAGAACCTGAGAATTCCCTGGACACCTGGGATCTGTAACATCGCATAACAGAAGAATTAAATTCCGAGGTCAACGAGAAGAGGTCCTTGACAATACTGTAAACACCAACAAAACAGCGTTTTAGGAAGATAAGATTTGAAGCGAATAGTAACGATAAAACAGAGTGGGAGGCAAACAGGTGCATTGCAGAAGGTAAGGGCACAAGAGACATGCGCCAGCTAGAAAGTAAGGCCTGGACGTCCCTGGAAGTTTGTTGGCAACAAACTCTTTAAAACAACTTTTTCTTGGAATGTGGTGCTGCAGATTAAACCGCAGAAGCCTCTGTGCTGCAAGGTCAGAAGACTTGCAGTCGTAAGATCGAATCCACGTGAAAGAATGAGCCCATCGCTTGTCCCAGCTCCCGCCAACCTAGCAGTTCGAAAGCATGCAAAAATGCAAGTAGATAAATAGGTACCACCACGGTGGGAAGGTAATGGCATTCCATGTCTAGTCACGCTGGCCACGTGACATGGAAGATAGTCTTCGGACAAAACACTAGCTCTGTAAGTTGGAGACCGGGATGAGCACCGCCCTCTAGAGTCGGTCACGACTGGACAAATTGTCAAGGGAAACTTTTACCTTTCTTGCTAACATACACATGTGCTTAAGGACAGAAATAGATGGTGTTACTGAACCTCTGAGGACTATAGATGTTGCATTTGCTACTCCCTCACTAAGAAGAACATTCTGGTCAAAGGGGTGGTTTGGTGTCTCAGCTTTATCTCCCAGTAGATACTGGAGGCAGAAGTGTGGTCAAAGTGGAAGCATAAAAATAGATCAGTTCTCTTTCAGTGACTCTGAGATTGCAGACATTACATGGCATTCCATGTCTAGTCACGCTGGCCACGTGACCATGGAAGATAGTCTTCGGACAAAACACTAGCTCTGTAAGTTGGAGACCGGGATGAGCACCGCCCTCTAGAGTCGGTCACGACTGGACAAATTGTCAAGGGAAACTTTTACCTTTCTTGCTAACATACACATGTGCTTAAGGACAGAAATAGATGGTGTTACTGAACCTCTGAGGACTATAGATGTTGCATTTGCTACTCCCTCACTAAGAAGAACATTCTGGTCAAAGGGGTGGTTTGGTGTCTCAGCTTTACCTCCCAGTAGAAAAGTGGAAGCATAAAAATAGATCAGTCCTCGTTCAGTGACTCTGAGATTGCAGACATTACATTATTTCCACCAGGATTTCATCAGGTAAGGTGGATTACACCTATCTTATCACGTATTACCCTTATCTCTGAACTCAGAAAGAAGCACAGTTGCTCTGGAGCTTTGGACCAATCCCCTACTCTGGCAAGGATGCTACTCCCTCACTAAGAAGAACATTCTGGTCAAAGGGGTGGTTTGGTGTCTCAGCTTTACCTCCCAGTAGAAAAGTGGAAGCATAAAAATAGATCAGTCCTCGTTCAGTGACTCTGAGATTGCAGACATTACATTATTTCCATCAGGATTTCATCAGGTACAGTGGATTACGCCTATCTTATCACGTATTACCCTTATCTCTGAACTCAGAAAGAAGCACAGTTGCTTTGGAGCTTTGGACCAATCCCCTACTCTGTCAAGGAATACTAGAGGATTCATTCAAGTGAATAGTCTGGTGGACTTTTCCCACATTCTCTGGTAAAATCTAAGTTTACCAAGTACCTCCTGCTCTTTGAAGTCCACCTTAGGTATCACACTTCCTAGAAATTTCTGTAGGAGTGAGTCATGCTCCAGTTGTGTAACGTTCTTCCCTGGGAAGGCTTTTCCCACATTCTCTGGTAAAATCTAAGTCTACCAAGTACCTCTTCCTCTTTGAAGTCCACCTTAGGAATCACACTTCCGAGAAATTTCTGTAGGAGTGAGTCAGGGTCTCTTTAACATGCTCCAGTTGTGGAACGTTCTTCCCTGGGAAAGTAGGTTGGCTTCCCTATGACTGGCCTTTTGACAGCAAAGGAAACAATCCTGTCCCTTGACCTTTCAGTGATTAAGGCCACTCTGATTTTTTGAGACTCCACCTGTTTTTGTTGTAAGACATGTATTAATTTTTTTTGTCCTTTTCTTGGTGTCTTTGCAAGTGCCTTAAGAAATAATTGAGGGAAAGGGTTGACTCAAAACTAAATCAATAAAAATATACAAGATATAACAAATAAGTACATACGGTCATAAAAGCTGGAAAAGAAATTCATTTAGAAGGTGAAGGATACTCAACGTGTATTAAATTATTTTCTACAACATTTTAATTCCTGTTTATTCAGGGCTAATACTGGATTCACTTAATAGATGAGTAGAGAACTAGGGCAGAGAACTAGGGCAGAGAACTAGCGTGAACTTCTTGTGCATCTTTTGTTTGTTTGCATATAAATAGTACTCACAAAAGACATATTTATGGCAGTCTAGGAGTCTTGGTTATCCTTTTGTCCAACCAAGGGCTCTGTGTTTTAACAGCTGCATAAGGGGAGGGGGGAGGAAATCAACTAGTGCTGCACCCCCCCTTGTTTCCAAGGCCGTGCTAAGGTGGGAAGGATCATGTTTAATGCAGATTGCCAACATCTGTCCTTGACAGTAATTTCCGTTTTCAAAACACAAAAATCACTGTTCCTTGAAATCCTACAAAACATCTCTCATTTTTTTTAGTTTAAAAGTACACTTGCCATTGCACTGGATCCTTGCCAAAGACTTCTCCCCAGAAAAACTTAATTTGGAAATTGAAGGTAGCAGACTTGCATTCATGTGCAAAATAAACAGGTGTAGTATCCCATCCATAAGAAATTTCTACTTGCACCAAAATATAAGCAACCAGGGAAAAACCAAGCATGAGCGGCAACCACAACTGAGCATGTTTTTCTCAGATATTTACAAACAGCACCTTTTTTTCATTCCCAAAGAGAACAAAGTAAATAAAATTTCTTGCTACTTAAACGACTGTGCTTTCGCTTTCCTGTAATAGCTTGAAGAAGGAAGTAAAATCTAAATAGATTATCAGGATAGTGTTGGTTACTGTTCAAACAATCCCTCTCTTACAAAGAAGGGGAGAAAGGGATTACTCACCGATGGTACCTGTAGCAGCACAAATAGGTAGGGACAAGTTTATGCCAATAGTTTTCAACATGCAGGAAAGTAAGCAGTGGAACCGTCAAGGATCAATGGTAGGACTAATGTTATGTAAGCTCTTAGCTGGACCTGAAATTGCACACCAACTATACATAAACTTTTTCATGAAAATAAACAGTGTGGATGGCCCTTCCTGCCTTTTCTTTTGGGAGTCAGCTAGGTTTCCAAGTGAAGAAGAGTCAAACACAACGCTATGGGTGGACATTACTTCTTCAGCAGTGGGCTTTTGGGAAACATAATCCCACCAGCCAACTGCTCCAGCTTCTTTCAGAAAGGTCCTTCAAGAAATATGGTGATATTTTTAGGCTGTCCTTTTTTTTCCATATTAGAAACATCATAGCCATTGTGTTCATGGTGTACTCTGAATCTCCTAAATAAATAATTCTTAAACGTATCTTCTTCTAAAGTTGAAGAAATGTAGTATTATGGAGTTCCATGATTTAACGATCTAGACATCATCTACAAGTGGACTCACCAATTACTGAACAAGGTATTTTAAAGGAAAAAAATTGAAATAGCATTTCATTTATGGGGGGAGGTGGAATCTAAGAAAGGTATGCTGCACTGTATTAAATAATAATAAAATGTTAATAATGTAAGCTACCTTGGATCCTTTTTAAGGAAAAAAATCTGGGTTAAAATATTTTAAATAAATGTTATTTCTAAGGTTTGTGTAAAAATGATCTGGTAGTTACCTTCAAAGAGAAGTGCCAAGACACCATGATTCTTGTGTAGAAATTGCACAGTATTGCTCTCATGTTCTCAGAAGGCCCAAGGAAGTCTTGTCTGCTGTACATCCCTCGGTGCCGTTTGCTTCGTCCGCATGCCCTTGCTGCTGAATTTTTCTCCTGCACACATTGGCTACTAGCTATGCGGTATCCCCACAATGGATTTAATTAGATATACAGACAAAACTTATACTGCTTCTTGGTGAGTTGTTACTACAGTATTACCCATGACATACTTTTCTGTAAAAAGCAGACAGCATTTACTGCATTTGGGAATCTGTATTTCTTTTATTGGAGGATCACAGCAAGGGGAAAAAAGTTGCATACTCCTCCTTTTAATGCTGAGAAGGAGATGGAAAGGCAGAGAAAGAAAACCCTTATTCTGCTCCCTGAAGTAACATTTTTAACAGAAAGATCAAATACAGACAAGGAGGGCAGCAGTATGAGATATCAATATGTAGGGAAGAGAGAAACCATCAGGGAGTTCATGCCGTGGGTGGCAGAGAGTCCAATTCGGTGTTGTGCTAGTTTGAGAACAAGTCATTTCTGAAGAAAAATTTATTAATTTGGTTCCCCAAACAGGTTGCTTTAAAAGACGTCCTCCACTGAGAGTCAAGTAGCAAGGGTAAATTTTTGGTGCTGCACATTGCAATGGAAGTCTTTTCTTTTTGACCAAGAATGGCTTGAGAGGGCCCAGCAAGATCAGTACATGCAATAGTGAGACACTTCTCTTCACATCTCCTTGAATCCATTAGAAACCAAACTGGGGCGGACCAGAACTTGGATGAAGTTGGCAGTGTACAGGTGGGCACCAAAAGAGTAACTTTGCTCCAATGCCATATAGTAGCTTTAAATATTCCCATTTAAAATGGGACAGACGGAGATTTGTCCATAGGCTCTCTCAATCATCTGAATTTGCCATTCACCACAAAGCATGCCCAAAGAAAGGACCGGAATAACTCACAGGACGTTGTGCCCCATCAGCAATTGCACAGGAATCATTGGGGGGGGGGAAACAATCCTTTCTCACAGTAGCCAAGCATCCAAGAGGAGACAACAGCTTCACTAGAATAGCATAATTCCTTCTTCAGGATCCATAGGAGAATGAATGCATCCAACAGGAACTAGATTTGGTGTATATCTTGAGCTTTCTCCAGCAGCCAAGAGTCCAACCCACTGAGAGAGATCCTTCTAGATGCGAAAACTCTCCTCTTTGCCGTCAATGTGTTTGAGGCGGAGATACACGTCTGTTCCAATTCCCTGCATGGACTGGAGGGTTAGCGAGCCACCCAGGTACTCGGCGTATGCACGGGAGGTGGGCAGCCCGAATCCAAACCTACAAAAGAAGCATATGCAAGAAACGATGGATGAGAAATTGCTGCAGAGAAAATGATAGCAAAGAGTAGCGAATGAGGGGTTCTTTGGCCGACAACCAAATTTTGGAGATGCAGATTTAGTGGACTGAGAAGAATGCTGCAAGGCAGATTCATATGTTGGGGTAAGCCTTACTCAACTGCATGTAGGCCTTCATTCCATGGAAAGCTATTGTCGAGTTATATGGAAAAGTGGGGCGAGGTTTCAATGAAGAGCTTGAGGAAAGCTATAAAAATGAACAGGCTATATTATGTGCTGTCATTGCATACATAAAAAAAGAAATTGAATTTCCTTTCTTCCTCTTTTAAAATGACAAATTTCTAGAGCTTACTGTGAGAATCTGGTAGAAATCTGATGCAACTAAGCAAAAAGCATGAAGTGGAAGCTTTGGAGGTTTATTGATGTTGTTTTCACTGGCGCCAATGAAAATGACTGTGGGTTTATAAGACATCTCTTCCTGAAGATAATGACCCTGCCTTATCTTTTCAGCAGTAACTGCTAGAAATCTCATTTTCCCGTGGATCTCTGCTTTGTTCTTACCCGTGCATGGGCCCGGACTGGGCACTATTTCCCATTTCCACCATGTTGCCAAAGAGGGTATTCATCCGGGGATCCTGGGCACTCGCCTCTGCTGTGGTGAAGTGGTAATCTGTTACCTTCTCAACCTGATCATGAGGGATTCCACCACCTCGATCTGAAATCCTGCCAGGAAAATAAAGAACATGATCAAACAGCCACATGTCACAGTTCAAGGCATGTTTTTCTCTTCCTGCCTTTATCTCCTAAGTAGAGGTTAGTCATATCCCTCTCGCTGTTGAAATAAAACACACCACTAATAGACCATCTCAACAGCAGCATCCAAAATGTTCACAAGCAACATGACATCCATCCACTGTTACCAAGTCCCTGCCGTGATGACACCAACTGGCAGTGGCCTTTGAACCATCTATTGAAACTCCTCTTTTGCATTCACCAGATCTTACCGTATGATCAGGTCAATGTCATTGTTGGCAATGGTGATGAGTATATCTGGTACATTGTAGGGTGTATCCAGGTGGGACTCCATGGTGGCACTGAAAGGAAGAAAATCAGACTGGGTAGTATCCTAAGCACTGTCTTAGACTTTTCCACTTGATAGTATGTGAAAGGTCTCTTCAGCTGAGAAAGTCTTGCAGTCTCTTGGTCTTGCAGCCCAGCAGCCAAAAATCTAATAGGCTATTTCAAACTGCTATACAAAATTCAGCTTCTACCTCTGTAGCTTGTAGCTAAAACCACCTCTTTTCTTTATGGCAGTTTTCATTTCTCCTTCCCACCACTGCTTCTTGCTCTCTCCTCTCCCTTTCATTATCTTGGATTTTTCCGCTTTCTATCATGCTTTCCTAAACTCTTGCTTTCTTAGAACTTTCCTTTCCTGACTGTCTTGTTGTCAGCTGGGAAGGAAGCAGCACAAAGAAATTACAGCAAAAAGTCCTTCTCTTTCCTGGTGATTTGATGATGGAGCTTTATCGCTACCCTGCTGCCACCAAGTCATTTGGTGAAAATAGATCTGGCAGTCAATCAAGATCATTCAACTAAGCAGGACTGATATTTTGTCTGAGCCGACTGTTTCATCACTCCGTGTCTTGTTTATTCTTTCTGAGTCAGTTTCAATGAGACTGCAAGAGTTGTTCCTTGAATCAGTCTTTAGAAAAGCTAAACACACGGACAATCATTACAGCAAATCTCCCGAGGGAAAGGTCTGTCTCTCTGCTTCCTTTACGGATACAGCCCGCAGGACAGCTCTGCTACCAATAAGAGGAGACATGAACACTCACCGCATAGCATTCTTGAGGAGTTCTGGAAGGATGTAATCAAGAGGCATTGGGATGAAAGGGAAGCGGGCGGCAACATGCCCGTTGATCCTCACCTGAGGAGCATTCCCATACTTGTGCTCACACAAGCGCCTGCAGGGAGACAAGCAAGACAGGATGCTTCAAGCACACGCTTAACTTGGTTATATTATAGCCTGTAAGTGCACATTATGTATTTAATGTCCATCCCTGCAAGTTTAATTTGATTTACTACTGCCAAGTGAAAGACAAATAGTCATCTTTAATAGTGAGTTTGACATAGTCTACTCTGGGCGGCTCACAAATAGTCATCTTTAATAGTGAGTTTGGTTCTGGAATGTTAAATTTCACAAATCATGTTGACTAGCAATTTCAGCAAAGTTCAGGACAGGTTTTATAACCTAGGCCTTATACAGATGACTAGATTTGTTATTGTTTTAGAGACTACATGGCTTTTTTCTGATTTTTCCCCCCCTGCACCTTGCAAAATACCCTTGAATGGCAGATCAGGGCACCAAATGAAGAACATCATGGACTCTTGACACCAGCCAAGCAGTACTGCATGCTGAAGAAAGCATCTGCCACATAAAACAATTGACTAGGCTTTGATTTGGCTAAAATTGGCTGTTCTTGGGGGCTGAACTAAATTTTAATCCCAACTCTGACGGAGCCTTGCCGTGCTTCTGTGTTTTCCCTAGTCAAATAGAAACTCTTTGCATTTCAAAAAGAAGACAAAGGAACGCTTGCTGGTCCTTTCTTTAAAGAGCTGGGTGATAAATTCTCAGCTACTAGCTGAGAAGGAGCTTGAAATGACATCCTCCTCCCACAAGCATTCAGTACCTTTGAATTCATCTCAAGAAGCTGACCTGGCCGCAACAACGGCCATGAAACGTTGGGACTCTAATCAAAGTATATACTTTTCTGAACTATCCACAAGAACTTGGTGTTCAGCCTGAGGAAGATAAATTATCCTCAAAAGCTTGCTGTCCGTTGTTTGCTTAATTTATTTTAGTGGCCTAATAAAGGTATCACCTGCTCCTTCATTTGTATATTGTAACTAAACATTAAAATGTCATTTTAAATTAATACTTTGCCATTAGTCATGGGTTAAATCCAATTAATAAGACAAAGGTTGCTGCCCCAAAACAGCTTTCATAAGCAACAAAAAGAAAATCAAAACAAAAACAAAACCACTGGGGGACCATTAAGAGTCACAAATTCATTTTGTGCATAAGTAAAAACAGCAGATGAGAAAAGGTAGACCTAAACAAAATGGCCACAAGAGGGAAGCAAAGACTGCTGTATAAACAAGTATGAACAACAACAAGGCTTTGGGCACCTTTAAGACCCAACATATTCAGTGTGATCTTTTGAGGATCACCATCCACTTCTTCAAATACGAGAAATACCTGGCAAAATCCACCCATTTCTCAATTATTTTCTTCGGAGACAGGCGGGTGCAGATGATCCCAACAAAGTCTGGCTGCAGGAAGATGCAAAAAGAAGACGGAAATGACTGTTCATCCAATACAAAATGCAACCTCCACAGTGCCGGCAGTGATCTTTGAAAGCACCCATTCAATCTATCTAACCAAGCAACGAGGTGAGGGTTGCATTACACAGGTGCAAGCATGCCTGTTGCACAATTGGGCACACACCACCTAATGTGACCAGCACCTCTTTATCAATGACAGTTTGCTGCGGAGATTTAAACAGCTTAAATGTTTTGTTTTTTTTTTAATAATTATGCTCTTCAGGAACGATGCACAGCCGTTTTCTATGTGTTCATTATTTCTCCCCGATGAATACATCTTTCCATTCCTTTCTTTCTTTCACTTCTCTGCCTCCCCTACAATAAATCTAATATCTTTTGATGTCTCTCTCTTAGATTCTGTAACTGTACACATTTTAGTTCTTTTTCATGAATTCTCTTAACCCTACACTCTTAGCATTTCCTCTTAATCCTACACTCTTAGCTGCTTGATGATTACCAAATACTCCTTCAACATATATTGGCCAAAATCCTCCTGCAAAACCATAAAAACGTGCTACACGTTAAGAAATCACCACAGACATCATCAGTTGCACACTCAGACATAAAATTGATAAGTCACCTCAAAAAGCTACATTATTCATGCTACAGCACCATAAAGAGGCAAGAATAAATAAATAAATAAATGAGGATTTGGGCCTGTATGTTTTCTGTCTGTTTTTACCGTCAAACAACAGTTTTGAATGTTTTTTCCCCTCAGAGTTTTAAAACAAACCTTTCCACATTTTTGCTGTCAGCAAAACCTAAAGTCTTTTCACCTAAAGTTAGCCACAAATGCTGGTACCTTGGTTCCCTCTTTCTGTATTTCAGTTATAAACATTACTTAGATTATGTTTTGAGATATTATTTATACAATTTTAACTTTCGATACGTTCAGTGTTTTTTTCTCCTCAGTCTTTAATTATTTATTTAGATACACGGAATAGGATTTTCTATGACTATTTTTAAGGCTGTGGTTTTTGTACTGTATTTTGTAATGTATGTGTCTATAAATGATTACTAGTTCTTTGCCCTCACTTCTAAAAGGAAAAGTAAATTATCAATTATTTGGTAATCCATTGAAAATTAATGAACTTCCATTCCTCTCCCCATGTTTGTGACAGGTCTTTACCAGATTATTCCTCTCAGGCAACTGAACTTTAAACATGTTTTTATCCTTGTTACAGGCTTTGCTTTATATATTGTCCTTTTGGGTAAGGAAGAAGTGAGAAAATCCTTTTATGGCTATATTCTTTCTTCCTGTGCAGTATACAAGTTTATGAAATAAATAAACTGTCCTTTAACTAGAGGCAAGCTCCTGAACAATTTGAAACCTGAATTTGAAAGTTTTGCCCAACCGTCACTAACTGCCAACCCACTTTCAGCTTTGTTTTCTGAAATATGAGGGGCTTTACTCAAGCAGAACTCTTGCAGGGAAGTTTTTATCGCCCTTTTAAATCTTCTTTAAGGTGCTTTTAAGAGTTTTAATAAAAATATGGAAAAATTATGTCCTTTCCTGCCAGCAGCCCGGTTTCACTGTCCTTTCAGCTGGCATCAAGTCACTAAACTTGCTACTAAAGGCATAGATTTTAAAAATACATATTCACACACAAAATAGTAAGATAATCAGATAATGTTGTTTTACATCTGATAGTCAAAGGTTCTGATTTTTTTTAAGTGGAGGGAATGTAGCAAAATTCAGAGCGTGTGCTTTACATACAGAAAGTTACAGGTTCAACCTCCGGCATAGTTTTAAAAATGTTCTTATGAAACAAGACTGGGAGACCTCTAACCTGAGGACCTCAGGAACTACTGTGGTTGAAGCCATAATACTGGATTAAATGGCTCAGTGATTTGGCTAAATCATTATTGTAAAGGTTTAATTGTTTGTGAGCTGTCTTGGGTTCCCCAATGGGGAAAAAGGTGGCATATTAGGCCTCACTAAACATCATATTGTTCCTCCTCCATTAGGTCTCTCTCTCTCTCTCTCTCTCTCACACACACACACACACACACACACACACACACACACACAGAGAGAGAGAGAGAGAGAGAGAGAGAGAGAATGGGAAACAACATACTTTTACCAGAGCAACTAAAGAAAGCAAACCTTAAATACAATGGTGCCTCGCAATACGAATGAATTATTTTCATCTTTTTCATCTTGCAAAAAGTGGTTTTCCATAGGAATACGTACATTGCAATGCATTCCTATGGGAGCCTCGCAAGACAAATTAATTATTTTCATCTTGCGAGGCATTGGTTTTGGGGGGGGGGAATTGTCTTGCGAAGCACGGCCATAGAAGAAGCCGTCCTGCGAGGCACCACAGCGATCGCAAAAACCATTCGTCTTGCGGGGTTTTCGTCTTGCGAGGCACCACCGTATTTTGTTTAAATGCTTGTTAGTCATTCTTACAAATACATAAACATGTGTGTGTACACACACACATACATATCCAGTTAAGATAAATCTATGCATATAGACCTTATCCTCGTGCAAGGCAAGGTGATGAGTGGCTAACATCCGGATCCCGAGGCGGGAGGTGAGGGTCTTGTCTAGGAAAGAACGAATCACTTTCTCATCCTGGAAAGTCAAAAGAGAAGCAAAGAACTTTGCAAAGTTGCCAAGGCCACACAAGCAGTTGCAACAGCTGTCTGGAAAACAATCTTTCCAACACCTTCTTCCAACTAGTCTTCACCTAATTTCTTGGGATGGATATTGAAGTGCCAATAGATAGAGATGAAGTGGCCGTCCTGTGCCTCCCAAGTAAGACTGGGAGGTGGATTTGCCTCACAATTTCTCCATTTCACCTGTTACAGCTCAAATTCTGTGCTGGCTTTGGAGAATTCTCTAAAGTCAATGAAGAAGGAACCACGACAGAGCTACAATATGCCAGCCGTCCTAAAGTCAATGAAGAAGGAACCACGACAGAGCTACACTATATGAATATGAAGCAAGCGTGGATCAATATGCCAGCTGTCCTGAGAGCCCCCCTCTAGACGACGTCTACTTGGGGCGACTTACAGCAAGAACACTTTCCTGTTCTAGCTCCAGCCTCCTGCCTACCTCTGAGATTTTTAATTCTTTTTTCCTTCAGGGTCATTGACTTTTATATGTTATGGTTCTAGGGCCACAGTATTTCTCAACAGACGAAGCCTAACCTGAAACAACCCGAATGGGCCAGAAGAGTCAGCCTTGGAGTACCTGTATATGCTTGCGGCATTCCCGTAACCCTTCAGCCAGTAACGTCACAACGTCTTTGTGATCGTCTAGGAGTTGCCGGACCAGTTTGCAATACTGGATATCAGATTCTTGGTCCTTGATCTGTGCAGAGAAAAGAGATGAGGGACAGAGATAGAGGGGTGTGGGGAGGGAACAGGAAAGAGAAAGAAAATCTATGTGCAAACATAAAGCAGCCATTTAGCCAGAACCAAGAGTCCCATATAAAAAAGCACAGAGCTCCCGGAAAACACTGAAAGGCATTTTGAAAGAAATAAAAATAAGTACTGCATAAGGGCACCGCGATCAATGCCAACTTGGTTTGCTCACTGTTTATCTTATGACATCCCACAAAAATGACTCAGGACAGTTTATGATTTTTTTTATTTTTATTTTTTGGTATTTGAGAATCTATGACATACTTACTGAGGGATATTCACTCAGTTTCTGGAACGCTCGAATGTAAAGCTCATGCTGAAAGAAAGAAAAAGGGCAGCAGTGACTTAAAAGTTTCTAGACTACAAAACCCACTTGCTGCTAAGCCTAATCCTTTGGCTACTTTCCCCAGGAAGGACAGATTTTTAAATAGGCTTGTTCTTGGACTTCAACTCCCAGAAATCCTGGCCAGCAGAGGTGGTGGTGAAGGCTTCTGGGAGTTGTAGTCTAAAAAAAAAAAACATCTGGGGGCACAAGGTTAAGGACCACTGATGTAGAGGATTGAATCTGGGCTGGGCTCTATCGCTCCACAGTACTGTACCCAGTTGTCCTTGGTGATCTGCCACGTACTAAAGAAGCTCAACTCTTTTTAAACTATTGAAATCAGATACTGGTGAATTCAGAATGGCCTCATTGCAACACCATCCCTTGTTTATCAACCTCTGGCGCACGTACCACATGGAGGACAGTGGGGTTGCAACCAATGATGAAAGGGAGGCTCCGAAAACCTTTGATGCGATGAGCAATGCGGACCGGCAGTTCATGGTGCAGGTAACGGGCACTTTTCTGAAACAAAGGGCAGGCAGACATCAGTGATGATACAGCAAAGAAAATGCAGCTTTGAGTTCTCTCCCCAGTTTTGAAAAGCCTAAATTGGACTCAGTCATAACAGGCTATAATGTCATCATCCAATGTTGTCTCCAGGAGCAGAAGTAAAATCCTGATAAGCAATTGGGCTAAGAGAGGCAGGTGTCCTAACCGTTCATGGCGCTATATGGGTCTAAGAACAAATTTCTCTCTCCACTCCAAGCTAGCCAGCAAACTCCTTGAGAGTCTCCCGTTCCCTTTCATGCTTCTTTCAATACAGTACTGTCATTGTAGACAGATGTGCAAGCCAAGAGATGTAAATAAACAAACGACACCAAGGTTTAGGATCACTCTCTCGACAGCCCTCCAGGTAAGCCAGGTTGGAAAGGACAGACAAGGCTACGAAATGGGTAGCATGCTTAAAGCTATGTAACATGACCAGGAGAAACTGGTAGATTTTTCTGATTCACATATCATGCCCTTAACTCACATGCTAGAGTAATCTGTAACCATGACATCAAGGAGACTAGTTTTGAAAGAAGAAAGCTCATGTAGCACTGGAAAAGGAGCAGTTAAACTTGGTTTTAATCCCCATGAATCTCATTTACAGGTTCTCAGTATTTCACAAAGACGTCCTCTAAGAATTAGTGTGATCACTAAACAGAGAACTGAATATACCGACCACAGCTTCCTGGATGAGTGTAGAATAAAAATGTAATAAGAACAAAATAAATTAAATATATAGGTTTGTCTTTCTAAGCAATCACTCTGCCAAATGATAAACATCGGTAGATAATAGGCAGGTAGGTTAGTAAGAAGTGTTTCTGTCTGATCTTTATGCTCAGTCAATGTAAAAAGATGTGAAGCGGCTTCACTCAGCTTGGACCACATGGGTGGCAATGGCATCTGAGGAGAACTCAGATCGCCTCAAAGCTCAGCGTGCAGAATTACAAACAATGACATAGCTTCGCTTTTTCCTCAAGGCATTCAGGGAGACCATAGCCAGTTGAGATGTGAGTTGGTGTAACTAGAGATTTCACTGACACACAGTAGGGTACAAAAATCCCTGCCCTAAATCAAAAGTGGATCTCCCTGTCCTGCATAGTGCCTGTACTTGACTGGGCCCTGGAGTTGTTGTTGTTGTTGTTTTTTTTGGTGGGCAACATGGTCGCTTGGATGCACTCTTTGGCCATGTTCTTCCTGCAGCACAAAGACAAACAAAGGTGTGGTCCTGGTGGAGGAACTGAGAAATAGAGATCGCAGCAGTGAAAGGTATTGTGTTACAGTATATGTCCCTAGAACGATGCTTGACCTCCAGAGCATCATTTCTTGATAGAAACAGTTATAACTGTTATGGCTTCCCCCATGAAACACTTGTAAAGGCATGAGAGATTCACAATCTTCACAAGTTGCTGTGGACCAGGACAGGATTAGACCATTCTTTCCATCCTTGTGATTCTATGGCTCTCAAGGTTTCTAGAGAGAACAAACTATTACAACTCATATTAAGATCTTGATTTATTTTTTTACATTTGCATTGTGGTTGTCTGCCGATAATTTTTCAGGGCAGCATATCTGGTTCCCACCATTATTTCTTTTTATCCTCACAACACATTTTTGGGTCCTGATTGGGTCATGACGGGCTCAAAGCCAAAAAAGGATCAGACTGCTGATACAAAATGGATACAGATTTCCTGCAGAAAGACTGATATCCTAAAACACTTGAGAAAGCAACATACAGTACAATCCTTCCACAAGACTGTAGCATTTAAAAAAACCACACACACAGGGAAATAATGTACTTGAAAGATACACCCCCTAAAGTCAAAACATCTTCACATGCAAAATAACCCAGGTCTGTCATATAGAGACCGTTTCCCTGAAAATAAGCCCTAGTATGATTTTTCAGGATGCTCATAATATAAGCCCTACCCCAAAAATAAGCCCCAGTTAAGTGAAACCCCAACCTCCACCATTGTGCAATCAGAAGATGATGACATGACTGTATTTGAATCAATGTAGATGGTTGTACATGAAAAAAATAAAACATCTCCTGAAAATAAGCCCAATTCATTTTTGGAGCAAAATTAATATAAGACCATGTCTTATTTTGGGGGAAAACACGGTAGTAATACTATCATGTGCATTCCTGAAGTGCTGAAATCTGATGAAGACCACACCATTTTTTAAAAGGCACATTTATGTTTGACGCATGCACCAGACTCATGAGGTCAAATTGATTCTGACCAACGGCAACCTCTTTTCCAGGATTTTCTACCTATAGAGTGCTCAAAAGTGGTTTAATGTTTCTTTCTTCTTGGGGCCTCCTGGGACTATGCAGCTTGCCAGAATCTATAAGACTTTCCCCTGGGAGGCACAGTGGGGAACTGAACTCCCAACTTTTGGTTCTGAAACTAGGTACCCAACTCACTGAGCTAGGCTATTCAAGGTCCATGTAAAACGGAACTGAACTCCCAACCTCTGGCTCTGAAACTAGGTACCCAACTCACCGAGCTAGGCTATTCAAGGTTCGTGTAGAATATTTTATGTTTGAATACTGCCTTCTCCAAAAGAAGAACCTGTCCTGTGTATGGAAGACTAGCCTTCAAGCCAAGACTTAAGTCAAGCTGGGGAAAGAATGCTGAAGGAAATGGAACAAAAATAAGATATAAAGAGTTGAAAGCAAGAAAAGAATGTGTTTTGTACTCTTGAGGCTTTAACCATTTAGAGCAACTGCTACCCTCACACCTACCAGCAGGTGGCTCCCATCTTGAGAACGTCCAGAATACAACATGGTGGTGGGTGTCAACCTCACAGAAGGCTGAGAAGAGAAGGAAAAAAATGGTTTCAAAGCCTCCAAAATGTCCCCACTAGGACAACTAGATGAATAGCATGCATCCTGAACAAGTCCAGCCAAAAAAAACCCCTATCACCTTTAATGGCTTGAAGTTAAATACAGTGGTGCCTCGCTAGACAATTACCCCGCATGACAGTTTTTTCGCTAGACACTGACTTTTTGCAATCGCTATAGCGACTCGCAAAACAGTGATTCCTATGGGGGAATTTCGCTGGATGTTTGGTCCCTGTTCCGCAAACCAATTTTCGCTAGACCACGATTTTGACAGCTCCCTCCACGCTCGCAAAATGGGTGTTTTCGGGACCTAAGCTTCGCAAGACAGCGATTTAAACAGCTGATTGGCGGTTTGCAAAGCAGCTTTCCTATGGCCGATCTTCGCTAGACAATGACGATTCTTCCCCATTGGAACGCATTAAACAGGTTTCAATGCATTCCAATGGGGAAATGCTTTTCGCTAAACAATGATTTCGCTAAACAGCAATTTCAGTGGAACGGATTATTATTGTCTAGCGAGGCACCACTGTAGATCATTTTGGCTGGATAGATATGCTCAGAAGTCCTGCCAGGGCTTGGACGCGACGACGTTACAGGCAAATAGTTATTTTTGTACTGAGCAGCTGCCATCCCCATCGACAATAAGACAACTATGCAAAAGACTCATGCTATGTTCTTCAATGGCTTCCGTCAAAAGCTCAGTAGGCAATGTGTTAAATATATGGAGAAACTTTACTCATAGAGCTTTAGCAGAATGGCAGATAGATGTTTTATTTAATTAACCAGCCATTTCCCCAGGGCAGCCTCCAGATGGCGGGACCAACATTAGGCCCCTTAGCTGATGATGTAGACCACCTCTCCAGGGCCAACGCCAAGCTGTCTGGGAAACTCATTAAACTGTGGTGATTAGCAAAACGGGACCCAAGGGCTGAGTGATAATTCTATTCCGCACAATAGATGAACGAGGCGATTTCTGAGGAAAATGTAAGCACCAAGGGGACTCTACTCCCACATCTCTCCACACAACTAATCAAATGTCATTAGCCATGCCAAAAATCAAGATGCTGATACAGGCCATTTAATCTTCTGCTAGGCCCAAAATCAGGACCGAGGAATGCAATCTTGCCTGCTCAGACCTGTCTTTTGCATAATGCTTATGCTTCTGGCTTTCAGTTTTGGAAATACTCCTTCTCCAACTGCAAAGAAGCATGAAGTCAGACAGCCTAGATCTGCTCCTGGCTCACAGTCTACAAATGCACCAAGCATTGGAAAAACTCTGCCACAGAACGATGCAGGTTCAGAACAAGGCAAGCTGTCCCGCTGCTAAGCTTACAGTGGTAAATCTGAGTTGTCAATGGGAGATCCGGTGGAAGCAGCTGTCATTGCTCACCTTTTCTGCCGCTACGTCAATGGCTGACTGGTTATAGAAGGAGGTAACCGTCTTGGATCGCTCACGAGCCAGTTCATGGTGCTGATCAAAAGCCGAAGAGGACCGATACCGGAAAGCAGGGAAAAAGAATGGGAGTACACAGGGAGCCCGGCTCCCTGTTCCCCCTAGTTCCACCATCAGCAATGTTTTCCACATCATTTTCTCCTTCACAGATAGCTGAAGACTAAACCAAAAGGAGTTTTAGGTATCAGCACCGTGTTCTGCATTTGGAAGCTCTCCCCATTCCCCCACAGAATATATTTGAATACACTTCACTCCCTCCTTTAGGCATCTGGCTGATTAAAGTCAGAAACAACAAGTCTTGATGCCCACGGCAATTCTCTCATGATACCTCAACTGGCTTTTATTTGGTTCAGTTTTTAGCCTCATCACAGAGGCAGTCCTAATATTAAGGTAAAATGGCTTCCTCTGATGGCAAATCTAAGTGCGGCACATGGGAAGACAGAAAACCCTAGAATAGATCTGGGGTTTATAAATGAGCATACAACATCAAAAGAAACTTGACTCATGGGACATTATATACTGGGAGATTATTTTAAAAACACCCTGTTCTTTTTAATTGCAGTTTCCTTGAAATGTGGGTACAAGTTTCAGGTAGACAGCATTATGTTACGAATAGCTTCTCATACGAGACTACTGGATAATACATTTTTGGAATATATATAACCAAGTTATAGCCAAGGGCAAATTCAGCCAAGATGTCTGGAACCTTACTGCTGATACCAATATTAATGTGGGTACAAGTTTCAGGTAGACAGCATTATGTTATGAGTAGCTTCTGATACGAGACTACTGGATAATAAATTTTTGGAATATATATAACCAAGTTATAGCCAAGGCCAGATTCGACCAAGATGTCTGGAACCTTACTGCTGATCCCAATATTAGTGTATATTTCTGATAAGGAAACCCACGTCGTAGAGCGATGAATTCACTCTACAAGGTCGGTTTTGCGATCGCAAATAGGTGCCTGCATAGGCCGAAAATCGCAGAGCGAAGGTCAGTAAGCGGTTCGCTTACCGACCTTCGCTTTGCCACCCGCCAATCAGCTGTTCGGCAGCTACAAAATGGCCGCCGGAAGCCCCAAAATGGCCGCGCGCAGCATTTTCGCGCCCTCGTTAAGCGAGGGGAGGGCGCAAAAATGGCTGCCGGCCATAGGGAAGCATCGCTGAACTGTGAGTATTCGGCCCAATTGGAACACATTAAACCATGTTTAGTGCGTTCCAATGGCTTTTCCTGCCCCATTCAACGATGCTTTCATACAGCGAGGGTTAATTCGGAACGGATTAACCTCGCTGTGCGAGGCACCACTGTATATTTCTGATAAGGAAACCCAGGTTAAGAATATGATCTACTTACTTCTAAGATGACAAGTTACAGTGATAGTCCTGCTTTCTCCAGGTCTGGGCACAGTCCACTGGGGTAGGGCCTTGATGCATTCCCTGCATAAGAAGACACAAACCCAGATTACAAATGCTAGACATGCCATCATTACTGGAAACTTGACTGCCAATCCTGAATGCATGAAATGTCTCTGCTGGAAAGCCCATTCTTTGAAGCCTTATAACTGCCAGAGCCCATTCACACCTAAAACCACTTGAAACACACAATCCCAACTTAAGATGGACATTTTCCTCACTAAGAGCCTCCTCCTTGTTTCTCCAGCCCATGTTTAGTGCGTTCCAATGGCTTTTCCTGCCCCATTCAACGATGCTTTCATACAGCGAGGGTTAATTCGGAACGGATTAACCTCGCTGTGCGAGGCACCACTGTATATTTCTGATAAGTAAACCCTGGTTAAGAATATGATCTACTTACTTCTAAGATGACAAGTTACAGTGATAGTCCTGCTTTCTCCAGGTCTGGGCACAGTCCACTGGGGTAGGGCCTTGATGCATTCCCTGCATAAGAAGACACAAACCCAGATTACAAATGCTAGACATGCCATCATTACTGGAAACTTGACTGCCAATCCTGAATGCATGAAATGTCTCTGCTGGAAAGCCCATTCTTTGAAGCCTTATAACTGCCAGAGCCCATTCACAAATAAAACCACTTGAAACACACAATCCCAATTTAAGATGGACATTTTCCTCACTAAGAGCATCCTCCTTGTTTCTCCAGTCATCACACCACAAAAGTCATGTGGTGGCGGCGCTGCGGGTTAAACCACAAAGCTTCTGGGCCACAAGGTCCAAAGATCAGCAGTTCGAATCCACGCAGCGGAGTGAGCTCCCGTCGCTTGTCCCAGGTTCTGCCAACCTAGCAGTTTGAAAGCATGTAAAAAAATGCAAGTCGATAAATAGGTACCACCAGGGTGGGAAGGTACTGATGTTCCATGTCTAGTCGCGCTGGCCACGGAAACTGTCTACGGACAAACGCTGGCTCTATGGGGCTTGGAAACGGGGATGAGCACTGCGCCCTAGAGTCGGACACGACTGGACATTTCTCAAGGGGAACCTTTACCTTTTTGCCACAATATTGTGAGAGACCTGCTGATTATGAGCCCATGTGCTCCAAGGACGACATCTTGCATTCTTACAATTGCCACCGGTCATACAAACACTGGAACAACACTCTTAAACGCCCTCACAACATGCAAAACTTTTTTCACAAAAATATTATCATGTATTTGCGAAAGCTTTCATGGCCAGGATCTAATGGTTGCTGTGGGTTTTTCGGGCTCTTTGGTGACACCCATCAATCACAGGGACATAATCTCTCCTCCTTATCACAACAATACACCCACAACAAGACACACTAATCACCCATCTCCTGGATAGGACAAAAGCTGATCTCACAGCCATAAATACCCAACTCCCAAGCAAACTGCACCAGAGCACAGAGTGCTGTCCTCTGAAGATGCCGGCCACAGAGACCAGCGAAACGTTAGGAAGAACAACCTTCAGAACACGGCCAAAGAGCCCAAAAAACCCAACAACAACCAATATTCTCATCTCTTTAAAGTGACACAGTCCTACAGCCCAAGGTAGAACTGCGTCACCTAGTTTTATCAACTCAGTGCTTGTAAATGAGCAAATAAATATAAAATAAATAGAAATTGTGGAGGTGGGGGGAGGAAATGAGAACAAAGATACCATTCTAGTCCAACAGAAACCTGCTTACCTCAAGTAAACTTCGTTATCTTATGCCAGTTTCCTTGTATTACAAGAACACATAGCTCTGTTTCCATCTGAAAGGGGCAGAAATTGAGAGAAAATCCCATTACCAAAAAGGCATGGACTACAGGGGAAGTTTCTGAACTACTTACTGCATGCTAGTTAATTTACCAATTCACATGTTATATATTTTCAAGCATAAGATTGTTCCTTATGAAAACAAAACACATTAACAGCCAAGAGACACTTGGAAAGCCATTAAAAATAATATCGCCTTGAAAGAGCTGATTTAATAAAGTGTACTTTTTCTTACACTTCTTTTTTAAAGACTACTCTCATGTTTAAGTTATTTTCCCCACCACGTTTGGTTGAATATTCAACCTGGACAACACAGAAACCTGCCCACTACTTCATCTAGACCAGGGGTCATCAACCTCCGGTCCGTGCAATAGCTGGTCCTGATAAAGATATGATACCCTAACTGTGCCTCTGTGATTTTCTCCAGCAGACCAAAATGACTACCCCACAAAATTACTGTCCATAAATTATTATGTGCTCTCAGGGTGGCCACGAGAAATTTTATACAACTCAATCGTATTATCATTTCCAATTAGAAAGAACAAATTCAAGACTGGCAGGGATCTGTATGCACTCATAACTGGGAGACAAAACCTAAATATCTATATCTGTGCCCAGGCTTTCTGCTCTAACTAGTGCTCCTATTCGTTTAAGGACGTTCCTGCGATATGAGTGTGTTCTGCAGTGTATCTCCCTCCTCTGGACGTAGTTCTGAAGCTGTGTCACATCACAGGTTGGACCTTATGTATATAGTGGCAGGAGCGTAGTGATTACTGTATGTTTATAATCATAAGCACAATTCACTGCTGACAATAAAATAATAATAATAACCACTTCAAATGCAGCATATGAACATATTAGGAAAAAATTCTGGCCTTGCCTTTTCTCCACCAGTCCTTTATATATGAATTTTCCAGATATTGACTGCAAAGCCCACCCAGTGCAGCCAGAGGGGATGGGCTGGTGGGAGTTGAAATATGAAAACATATGTTGGAGAGAGAGACACATTCCCCAACACTTTTGGCAAAGTGTAAAATACTTACCTGCAATCAGACATACTACAGCCCAGACACAGGTCTACCACCTCAAGTCCTAGAGCAAAATGTAAGAATCCTCAGAATGCCAGATACTGGTGGATTTTCAACTTCCATCACCATGGGTGTCAATGAAGGCTATAATCCAACATCATCTGGCAGGTCACAATCTGATCAGCCATACACCAGCGGGATGCAAATATAGAGGTGACCCATCAGCCACAACTCCTAGGTTTTACTTGGGGACACAAACGACAGCCCAGTGCTGTAGCAGCTGCTTTACATGAAGGAGATTCCATGTTCAAACCCCATCATCTCCAGGTAGATCTATGAAAGAATCTTTCCCAAAACTTTGAAAAATCACGGTCAGTGAAAGGTAATAATATTAGGCTAGATGGACCAAGGGTCTCACTCAGCCTAAGGTAGCCTCCCTTGTTCCTATCCTAGCATGGAAGTAGGAGTTAATGCACAGAATCCCAAGCACCAGAACTCCTGGGTTCTTTTGAGGCAAAAACCAAAGCAGCTGGAATTCAAGGATCTCAGTTGCTACCTATTGCAAACTAGAGAGGGAAAAGTGGCCAAGTGCGGTAAGGTCACCAAGAGTTAAGATCCCATAGGCTGAAAAAGAGGTTATGAGCCAAAAGACGCAGGTTTCACCACCAATGCTGGTAAGCAAGGAAGGCCTGGGGGTTCAGGGAAGAGTGAAAACCAGAACTCCAAAGTTCAGCCTTCAGTTCTTAGGAAAGAAAAAGCAACATATTTTCTTGAAGTTTTAAACATATTCACCCACCTGGCCCCAAGATCCACTCAGATCCCCCGAATCTATACAAGCGACGCCACAAGAAGTCTAAATACCTTGGCTCAATTTGTCTGACTGTTATGGCCGATCAGTCCGGCTGCTATCAACACAGTCTTCTAGCGCTTGGCAAAGTGTACACGCGCACAGCAGCTGCCCGGCTCCTCCCTCGCCTTCGACCTCATTTCACCTCAAGCAACTGAAAACTTGCAGGGAGGAGAAAAGGAGAAGAGCTAAAAAGCCTCCCGGAGAAGGAAGCCTGGGAGATTTCAGGAGGTCTGTCAAAATGTTTACAACCCCAAATAGAGCGGGATGCTAATGCCTGAAATTTAAACATCGCCTGATTTCAGTCTTGTTTCCTAATTTATTGTTGCTTATCAAGAGGAAAAATGTTCCCCAGGGGAAAAAAGGGGGTGTGGGACACATAAAATACACACACCTAGGTTATAGGCTTAATTTTCAAAAGTTTAAAACAATACACGCAGGGAAAGAGTTCAGATAAGACAGAAAATCTGCAGTCCTTAACACATGGCATTTCACATTTACTTAAGAGATTGTTACTATTTTCTATGACGGAAGCAAAAACAACAATCCAGTTACAAACTTATTTTTGTTCTTAATTGTTGAAGATCAGATCTCCCCTCTAGATTAGACCACAACATTCCCTAGCTAGCAATTACATCAAAATAAACCATTCTCTAATTCAGATTTCGTGTTTGAAGTACGTTTTTAATTACCATATGGCTCTGAACCTCCGTATTGCTTGTGAATTTTCTACAGTTACAGAATCCTAGACTGGAGGCAATTCTGATCCCTGCTCCCAAAACTCTATGCACAAACTCCCATCAGCTAAATATTTCATACCCCACCCCTAAATTTCAGAATATGCCTACGGCCACATTATTATATGGTTATTTAAAAGAAATATCAACAGGGTACTCTTACTAATAGATTGAGAAATTTAGATGATGTTATGATTTAACTAGTAATGTCTTGAACTGTGTGGGATGTTTTAAAACCATGTTGTATTTCATCTTTGCAACATACTGATAAAGATGCTTTTATTATTCTAATTTTACAAATTAGAAATTGAAGCTACAATGCTGCCTTTTCATATTCAGGTACAATTTTGTCTCAGGTTTGCCAGATGCATGCCAAAAAATGATACAGTGGCTTTTGAAGTTCCGATCTCCTAGAAGCTCTTTCCCAAATTCATTATTCAACAGAAATCAAGATCAAGGCAGGTCGTAACAAGTGATTTCTTTCATCTCATCTCTGCAAGTACTTAGCCTCTCAATGCAATTTAAATGATTCAGACTTGTACCCCACCTTTCCTCATAGTAACCTGTATGCTACTTTTATACAATACTCTTGCAGCACACACCACTTTATGCAACTTAAGCAAAGAGGAAAAATACCTGCCTTCAGAGGTTAAAATGGAGCCAGCAACTCGGTTTCTCCTCTCTGCCATGAGCTACATACATCTTCTTCCAAAGGTTTTGGAACTATGGCCCCGTTCCTGCCAAGTCCAGCTGTTTACATACCCTAGGTCAGTGGTCCCCAACCTTGGGCCTCCAGATGATCTTGGACTACAACTCCTAGAAGCCTTCACCACCACCTCTATTGGCCAGGATTTCTGGGAGTTGAAGTCCAAGAACATCTGGAGGCCCAAGTTGGGAATCACTGATCTAGGTTACAGCCAGTTCAGAGGAAAGGAACCACAGGACATCTTGGCTGGCAGCCCAAGCCCAATTCAGTACTAGAAGCAGAAATCTATGCTGGCTCCTGCAGTTACCTCTGCTTCCTCAAGTCCCTTTGCTTGAACTTACTAGGCTATTGGCTGGCATTCACTGATTTACCCCTATCATAATCACTTCACTGTCTGATGCTGGTCAGCTGCATTGTGTCCCAACCCAGAGAGCAACCAAAATGATACAGGGCAAAAAATACAGAAGATAGCTCTTTGCCCCCAAGAAGCTTACAGTTTAAAAGGCATGGGAGAGAGAACCAAGAGAAGAAGGTAGGATGCATAGGTACGAATAGAAATTCAGAGGGAATTTTTCAAAGCTGCAGGTGTATTATTTCCCTGGAACGGACATGAAAAAGAATCCTTGTGTACCTTTGGCCTGATTTATTTTAGCCTGGAAAACATCCCCCTTCTTTTTTTGATACCAAAATAAACCTGAGTCTTAAATATTTATTGATTTTTTTTTAATTTAGACTGTTTATAGTTTGCCGCTCTCCTCAAGAGGACCCAAGGAAGCTTGCAAGATTAAAACCAACAATACTGCAAAAAGAAAAAAAAGCATCCTAAAAACAAAGAAATAAAGAAAAACAAAAACAGCCAACAAGACTTCCTTTCTTTTCTAGTCTACGTGACCTGGTTCACTGAGCGAGGCCCAGGAAGACTTGCTATCAATCCTTTCTGAAATATGAGATGGGCCTTTGTTCACAGCTTCCCCAAACCTTCCATTTTTAACAGATCTTTCCTTACAGAAGGAGACATCCCCACCTCTCCTCTCTTAATACGTCCACCCACGTTGCTTTCCTCTCCCAGGGAACCCAGGAGTCCGGGCTCTTCCTTCCCCCACACTCATCTTACAACCCCCCCGGCTCCTCCCAGTGCAAAACGGAGAGCCCCCAAACAGCAAACGGGACGCCCCTCATCCCTCTAAAACCACCGCTCCTTTCCTTTAGTTTAAACCACCCAGGAAGTCGGGCATCCTATCCTTCCCCCTTTGGGGGTAGGACTAGAACCCAAGGAACGGCGCTGCACTACCCCCCCGCCCGCAGTCACAATGGTACTTTCCAAAGTAGTGGTGGGGGTGTCTTGGTGTCCCTTACCGCCAAGTCCAAATGCCGCAGCGGTTTCCACGCCTGACGAAAGCCGCCGCCACATTCTCCCTGGAAAGAGGGAACTGAGGCCAAGCAGCTTTGGGGTGAGGGGGGAGAGAGAAGGCGAAAGAAAGCAAAGGCCTGTGGGAAATGTAGTCCCACGAATGCGCACTCCTTAAGCTCGAAGGGCAAGCAAAAACTACGACACCCAGGAGGCCCCGCGGGACAAGGCCGGCGCTTAGGCGCAAGAGCTATGGGAAATGTAGTCTTGAGCTTAAAGACGCGGGGGTATTATTGAAACGGCCGTTCAAAACACATTCCGGAGGAAGTTACCGTCTTATATCGCTGTTGCCTCAAAAAAACGACGGACTCTTGGAACAGCTTAGGAACTGACAATAACTACAATGGCACCGGCATTACCTAATGCTTTTGTGTTGAAGGCGGAGATAAACCCTGGAAGAAGCTTTATTTTGGTGCTTCATGGGAAATGTAGTCCGCTAAGGTGGCGAAATTTCAAACTAATGCCTCTAAAAGCCAGGAGAATGGATGAGAATTGTAGTTCACGACAGGAAAAGAATTACACATAGCGAAGTATGTACTTTTCCCAAACAATTTCCACTTTCCATTTTGGAAAAGGAATGCTATGTAATACAAGGAAAAAAAAACAATGTCCCTTGTTTTATACCTCAGATGTGAGCTTCAAGACAGTCCCACCCCTGCCACATACTCAAATCTGTCTTTGTCGCAAGACAGGTGCACGTCTGAAGAAACAGCCTTCAGAGGAATCAAAATTCCCATCATGGTGACCCCCATGGCTACACCTCCCACTCAGTACCGGGGTGCATGGCCCCAGTCCTGCCAGAGGCCAAGAGAGCTCCTCAGTGTTTTGGGGTGCTTTGTGGGACCCCCATCAGGGGCTAAGTGTTCCTCCCACAATCCTCTAGTGCACAGGTATTAGCATATGCTAATTATGGACAGAACACCTAGCATTAGCTAGGTCCACTAGGATTGTGGGAGGAACTTAGCCCCTGTTGGGGGTCCCGTAGGGCACCCCAAAACACTCAGGAGCTCACTTGGTCTCTGGCAGGACTGGGGGCATGCACCCCTGTACTGAGTGGGAGGTGCAGCCAGGGGGTCACCATGACTTGGGGGGTTAGGGGACAGAATGGGGTAGGAGATGCAAGGGCTATTCCAACTTATACTTTACAAGGGAAATACCACATCACAAAAGTGGTTTTCTCAGGTGGAGCCTCATGTGTTGTATTTGGGATATGCTGCTGATCCCTGTGATTTCCTCAAATGAAGGGAGCTCAGTTGCATAGCTTATGTTAATGAGAGATTTCTCTTGTGATTAGCCCTGCTTTTTCTAGGTTTTTTTTTTCATTTCTGTTTTCTCATCAGGACCTATGTTATAGGTAGACAAGTCCTGATGATGTTTTATATCCTATTCTTTTTCCCCCCTCTGTGGTAAGGATTCAGGGCAAATGGAGTTACCATTATCAGGAGCTAAGGGGCTGCATTGATTCCTTTTATCTTTTCTTTGTTGCTGGAAAGAGAAAGAGGGGAAAGGCCATCTGAGACCCCTTGAATTTTCAAAGGCAGTGCAGATGAGATGAGGGGATTGCTTTTCCCCAAGATGGTATGGGGAACTGTGTTTTGCAAGATGATGTCTTCTATGGATAATTTTCACAAGATAGTGATTTTTCCCCCAATTGGAAGGCATTAAATAGATTTCAATGCATTCCAATGGGAAACTGGGTTTCACAAGATGTTTTCCCAAGACAGTGATTTCCATGGAATGAATTAAAATCATCTAGCGAGGCAGCATTGTAAGCCCATCCCACCTAATTAGGACACTCTGTGTGCCAATTAGTCTTTGGTCACCCAAGGGCAGGATCTATAGTTTAGAGAGGACTGCTCATTGCATCTATGTATATAAGGAAAAATATTTAGAATCTGTCTTTCATGATGAACACTTTGTGTAAACAGCTCACAGTCATGCCAGTTCATTTTATTGTTTAAAATAGTCTGCACTCACAGTCATGCCAGTTCATTTTATTGTTAAAATAGTCCGCACTTTCAATGGCAATATCTTGCGCCATCTTCATCAAAGCAACTCAAACAATATCAACTCAAGCAAAGCTAATCTTAAATCCCTCCAGATACCATCAAAACCAATTGGGTAGACATTTTTTGGGGGGGGAACCAGGCAGATTAACATTGAAGAGCCAGTCCTCTGTGTTGGTCAGCATTCTATAAGGGCAACCTGCCAAATCTATACAGTTTACAAAGCAAAGGCTTCCAGCAAGCATTAAAAGTAATGCTACTATCTCTGTGGATGGAATGTGGCTCAAGTTTTATCAAGAGAGACTCAATAATAACTCTATCCCAAAATTGACTGGTTTTGGCCAATACATGTACAATTAAGGGACGTGGTGGCGCTGCGGGCTAAACCGCAGAAGCCTGTGTGTGCTGCAAGGTCAGAAGAAAAGAGGTTACTTACCTGTAACTTTGGTTCTTCGAGTGGTACTATGTGAATTCACACTAATGGGTTAATCTCCGGTTGCGC